GCGCGTGCGGAGACCCCAGGTCCACACGGGCTCGGGGAGGGTGCCAGCGGGTGTGTCTCGGGGCGTCCCCAGATGCTGCTGAAAGCACCGCAGATCTCCTGGTTCTGGGAGGTGGGGTCGCAGTCCCAAACTTACGTGACCGCACCCCCCACGGAGGGCACGGCTGGGGACCTGCAGCTGAGGCGCCCCCGCCGCAGTGGGAAGTGGAGCCCTCGCCAGGGTCGGGTGCGGCTGTCCGCAGCGGGGTGACCGGCTGCTGTTTGTCACGCGTGCTTCGGAAGCACAGCCAGACCCGGTCTCGGGCGCGTCTGCGTTGGACCGTGGTGACTGCGCGCCGGCGTGGTTTTCCTCAGCGCCGCGGGGCACAGCTGCACGTCGTCCTCGCTGGAGCTGCAGAGCCGTTACTGAGTGCTACACGTGTGTCTGCAGCCAGCAGTTGCTTACATCTTGTGGCAGGCTGTGAGTTCTTTAAAATGCACTCTTTACGAGAGGTTCTTACGGACCGAGCCACCTTTCTTTTACTAAGTATATTGGAAGGCCTCATGGAAGGCAATGGTTAAATGTCTTCGGCCGGGTCTCCCTGTGAGCTGCGGGCCGGGGGGGGTGCCGGGCGGGCCGGAGCGGGGGCTCTGCGGGGCTCGGGCCTTCGAGGCTGTCGGTGGTCCCGACGCCCCCTCCCCGGGGACGGCCGGTTCTCCCTCGAGGCTGACAGTGTTTCTTCTGAGAGCCGTTTCAGGAAATTCCTCTTCATGTGTGTGCATGGGCGCGTTTGTCGTTTAAAAAATGTGTTTTTCGTCAGGTGTTGGAAAAAACAACTGTGACTCAACGTGTTTTGTTCCCTCACAGAACTGTTAGTGTTTCAGAGCTCCTTCACATACGAGATGCTTCTGAACTCGGAATTCACGTAATAACGAATTCTGTTTATTTTGGTTTTCCACAAAGGTTTGTTGTCTGAGCTTAAAATAAGACTGCAGCCGATTCGTGTAACACGTATTAACTGTTTATTTAGTTTAAGTACATGTCTGTATTTCTCGTTGCTGATCAACCTGAAAAATTTGCATGCTGCAGAGCGGCCATCTTCTTCTGTACTTTATTAAATATCTGTCAATTATAAATATCAAGGTTTTACATTAATGTCAAGACAGTGCATCAAAAATTCATGGAATATGTGACTTTTTCCAAGGGTATTTAATACTTAATGCATTTGTGTCATTTTTCTTTCCAGAGATATTGACAGGTTTTATTAAGTGTTTGTTAGGGAGATTTCATTTTTATCAAGGGACTATAAAGAGAAGCTGCATGCTAAATCAATTTTTTAAAGCCAGAAATATTGTTCATTTTTTTCATCTTCAAACTCTTGTAATCCATAGGCTTTATGTAAATTTCTCCTTGGTTTATTTTTGTTTCATGTGAATGATAGTTCAAGACAGAACTTTAATAAGGATCAAATATGCTGACTGTAGCGGTTTTTAATTTCCTTAAGCATAGCTACCAGACCCATGCTACATGGTAAATTCTTCAAAATGTCATACTTACATATTTAGCAATATTACTTCTTTTTATTGAAGCCAAACAAATGATTTTAGATATTAATCTTTTCCAAACACAGTGATTATTTCGTACGAGGTACAATATTCCTGCCTCGTCTGGAGCCCTTGCCGGTGAAGGGCGTGGGGGCCTCCCCGGGCGGCCTGCCCGGCACGGGAGCGAGGGTCCCGCGTGGGAGCAGGCCCTTCGTCCGGGGCCTCCGGCCTGACGGTGAGCGGGGCAGCTGCTCACATCCCCACTGCAAGTACGTGTTACACGCGAGAGAGTGGAAATGTCAATCACGTGAAAAACCCGCACAAAGTCTGTGGCTGGTCTCTCCACCTCGACCGAAGCGGGTGGACCCCGTGACCAAGGCTCCTTCCCCGTGGCCTTGCCGACCTGCACACGGCTCTTCCTCCCGCCCCACGGGTGTCTGCGGCGGTGCGGCCGGCACTCTGGCCACAGAGTGAGTTTCTGGCTTAACTCACATTTTCATTTTCCAAGTGCGGGTTAGTGACGGCGTCTCCTGCCGGAGCAAGTCTGCTGCAGACAAGACCCTGGCCAGGTTCTGCTCTGGGGGTGCAGGGCGGCGCTCACCCGTCCTGCTCAGGGGCGCGCTTTACGGCTTTCGCCGGAGAACGTTTCAGGGCCTTCTAGGCCACTGCGGGTCAGGGTTACAGTTTTTGCAGGACATTTTTAAACCTTAACTTGGTCTTCCATGGGGAAAAGCCTTGGTCTTTAAACAGAACAAAAATCACTCTGTCCAGAACTTCAGCAAAGAGTGTTTAGAATAGACATTTTTCTTATTCTTGTTCATTTTTTTCTGGATATGTGAAAATACTCCTTTTTAAAGCTAAATGTTTTTCAAAGGCAAACCATTTCCAATCTTTGAATGTTTCAAGATCCTTGTAAAACAGTTACATAATAATGTTAAGAGGTAGGGGAGGTATTTTCAGAAACCAGATCTCCTGGAGTAGAGCTGAGGCAGACCATTCTAGACAAACCTGGTGTGCTTTGGGAGGAAGGTCGTGGGAGAGGCCTTGCCGGGCTGTGCCTGCCTCCTGTCTGCGCCGCCACCAGTAGGTGGCGGTAGTGTCACAGCAGTGAGAGCCCCCGGGGAAACGGAAAGGATGTGCCTTGCTCCTGGCTGTCACCTTGTGCTTCAGCCTAACGGTGAAGGGTGCGTGGCGGTGGTGGATAGCGTTTTTTATACCAGAAGTGCGTGCAGTGGGCACACCTTATTTTTTAAGCAGATAAGAACAACTGTTTCTTACAGATTCTGCAAATATTATATAACTGTACAGCCAAAATAATCTTAATTTGAAGAAAGCATTTGCACATTTTCTTCTTCAGTTTTCTTTACAACTTCATTGGGACTGTGAGCATGAACTTACATTTTTGGTAAGAAATGTGTATAAATAGTAGGAAGGGGAACATTTTGGAGAGTGACTTCATCTTTTTAGTCCTTGAGGAGGTCACTGTCATGTGAATTGGTTCTGTATCGTCCAGAGCTATTTAAAGATCTTTTGAGTGTTAGAAGATTATTTTCAAATCGTTTTGACATCCAAACATTCCAATTTTGAGAATTCTCTTCTATTATTCAATATCTCAAACTTTTGGGGGGGGAGTATAGATAAAATTTTGAATACTTATGGGATTTAGCAGTGGAATTCACCAGCTTTCAAAATACGGTAGTGCACTCCACAGTTTAAATGAATTAAAATATTTTTAAGTAACAAAAGCAACAAGGCCGTCCCACCTGCCGCAGCTGGACAAGGGGCGGAGTGTGCCGTGGCGGGATGTGCGGCTCTACTTCGCTGGCTGCAAAAGGACGTTTCGGCCACAGCATCTCTGGGGGTCTTCTATGGCCCTTTGTGTCAACCTCGTCTCGGGCAGGGGCACGGTTCTCACCTGATGCATTTGTGCTCTCACAGGGGTGGAGCCCCCCACCGCCGTGGAGACCCTCCTCGGGACTCTCGCTGCTGCCCGCTGCTGCCCGGCCTTCGGTTGCCACAGAGAAGGGCAGGGTGGCGCCCGGGCTCCGCTGTGGTTGACCGGGTGTCATTTTTTTAACCCCGGAGACAGGCTTTCCTGCTGTTCCTGTAGCAGCTAGAAAATGCCCAGGGCGGCATGTTATGTGTTGACTTAAAAATATCTTCTTTAACCCTATTTTTATTATCAAAACATTGAACAGTTACGTGGTTTTATTTTTGAATGTTGGCTCTCCTTCCAAAGGGTTAAAACTGGGCTAAGGATTAGAGGGCAGAAGCGGCACCTGGGAGCGAACACCCAATTGGCAGCCTTTTGTAATATATAATTTGCCTAAAATTGCGCGCTGAGCACAAGCTTTTGTTTTCTAATTGATTTACGGTTTGAGCCACTTTTACCTCATCCCCTACTGTCCTGCCTGCGGTGCCAGCGAGTACATTACAGTGAGCGATGATAAATTGCCGTGCACTTGTGATGCTAATGCGTCAGGGGCAGAGCCCGCCCTGCGCGGCTCGGTGCGCCGGCAGCGGTGCGGCCACAGAGCACGGCGTCGCCCTGGCATCGCAGAAATTGCCATTTGTTCATCTGATCGCTCGCTGCAATCTGTCTATCAGACTATAATTGAAACTGGAGATTAAAATGATACTGTTACAGCTTTTAATTCCTTAATTGAGACAAAGTTTTTTAAGTGCTTGAAAGGTCTAAGGTGCCAGGGGGGCGCGGGGGGAGAGTTGTGAAGAGAGAACATGAAATATATAAAATTTTCTCGTAAGTGTGAAGTTTTGAATATTTTTACCAAATGTTCTTTTGTCCAGAAAAATAAGTAATTGCATCTAAGTATGCCAGTCTTTATTTTGTTTAAAAAAAAAATCTGTTTGTGAAGTGTGCTCCGTGATCTCACAGAGCCGCCCCTCTCCTGGTCCCCTGCCCCGCAGCCCCACCTGCCCAGGGGATGATTCATGTGCGCGGACTCGCTGGTTCCCGTCCAGATGATTTAAGCCCGAGATAAATGGAGGAACTTTCCATTTATTAGAGTGCCTTTAATTGTCCCCTTTATTGCTGCGGGGAGAGATCTGAGACCTGGGCCGAGGGGACCTGGGCAGCACGCTGTGGCCGAAGACACAAAGGAAGGGCACCCGCCTCGGGGGCTCGGGGCCTCTGTCGGGTGGGTGTGCCTGCCTCCCGTGAAGTCAGTCCACCTTAAACCTCCTGCCTGCGCCGCGCCCGTGGGTTCTGGTACCGGCGGAGGAGGGAAGAGGAGGAAGCAGATTTATGGCGGCTGCTGGGCACAACAAATTAAGTTGACAGTGATGTATGAGAGCGCAATAGCACGATGATCCCTCCGTAGCGCGGCTGGACGCCTCCTGCTTCGTTTGGCTCTTGTTAGGATCTGTTAGGCAGCTCGGTAATGAAATTCTGCTGACTGATTTCTGTTTTCCCTTTCTCTCCCCTCGCCCCTGCTCCCCCAAACTTCTCATTCCCAGACCCACCCTCATGCCAACAAACTGCCCTTGAAGGATTCTTTCACGTACGAGGACTACAGGTTGGTGTGTTGGGGGGGCGTCGTGTGTATGCGTGTGTTGGGGGGTGGTTTCTCAGTGAATTTGGGGTCTTGGAAGTGAGAAATGCAGGGGTGAGAAACGACCCGTGTGACCATTTTCACAACCTGAGACGGAGGTCGCCTGTCAGGAGCAGGAAGACAGCTGGGGGCGGGGGTGAGCGCTGTAGCAGCCACACACCTGCAGTGGCGGGGACTGGTGGGGCCGCCAGGTGGTGCTGGAGGCTGGCGTCAGTGTGGGGCAGTCCTGAGGATTTTCCTGCTTTTTAAAAGCAATGCTCTAATCTTTTTAAAGGGGGACTTCGTTTTAAACAAAAGATTTAATTCACTGTGCAATATAATAAAAAATTGCCCTCCACATTTTGTAGTGTTCTGCAAAGAATTTCTGATCAGAAAAGAGTTACATTGTTTTCATGGAGGCTTAAAATAGGTGCAGAGTCGGCACCGGGCAAGGAGGGTGGGCCGGCTTGGGGGAGGGGCCGTGGTGGCAGCACAGACCCGGGCAAGCGGGGGAGCTCTGCTCGAGGGCCTCCTTCCGGGCCCCTCCGCCCAGGCCTCTGGCCTCTCAGGAGCATTCTCCTTTAGCTGCTCACTCCTGGACTCCCCGGGGCTCCTTTTCCTTCTGCCCACCCTCCCACCCTGCCCAGATTTAGTGCTAAAGGCAACGAGCCATCACGGTGAGGGAAGGGCTTGAAGGTGCGGGAGCCGGCAGGGCCCTGTGTCTGGGCGAGCCAGTCACCGCTTTCTGGCTGTTGCAGGTGGGCAGTCTCTTCTGTGATGACACGGCAGAACCAGATTCCCACGGAGGACGGCTCCCGGGTGACCCTGGCGCTGATTCCCTTGTGGGACATGTGCAACCACACCAACGGCCTGGTAATGCCCTCCTCCGCGTGGGGTGTGATGGGGGGGGGGGGCACCGCTGTGGTTGAACTTGAATGTGGACATTCCCCTGCAAACCCTCCTCTCCCTGACTGCCTCCTGCGGGGGGGCAGGCACCCTCCCGCTGCCCGCAGGCGGAGGCTGGTATTTCCCTCTGCCGTGTGTCCTTAATCCCCCAAACCGGGGGTCTTACCTCACTTTTGAATACCACAGTGAACTGCATTTATTTGCTAGGCCATCATCCCAGCCTAAACATTCATTTTCTTATCTTATTGAACCACAGACTAAACCAAGTTTCTTTTTTCTTATTCCTCTTAAAATACTGATTTATACTGACTTACTGGGGCGGGGACTTCTCTTCTCTCTTGCTTTTCTTCTGTGTTCCTCTGCTGACTGCACCCCCTCGTGTGAAGCCCTGCGATTCCTTCCCGGCCCCTCCCCTCCCCTCCCCGACACGCTGACACGCTGATACGTCCCATCTGTCCGCCCGCTTTGGCCCCAGGCCGGCACTGGACCCCGGTGCTGGGGCAGCAGGGGTGCACTTGGGCGTCGGCCTTGGCCGCAGGACTCGGTCGCATCCCCAGGCTGGCGGGTGCTGGGCAGGAGACGTGAGAAACGGGAGCTGTGTGACGGCTGTCAGCGGTGGTGCAGAGCAGGAGGAGGCCGCGCTCTGCCTCTCCGCGCTCCTCGGACCCCGGGGAACAGCCAGGCCCAGGCCCCGCCGGAGGCAGCTGTCTGAGAAAGGTGTCCCGACCTCGGCACCTCGGAACAGGGTCAGCCTGAGAGCGTTCTGAGTTTTTAAGCGTTGTATTGGTGTCCTGGTTCAATTCATCTTTGGTTCAGCGTGGGCTTTCTTTGTCATTATCAGCACTGTTATAAGCAGGCTGGGAAAACGCTGTGAACGGATCCCTAGTGTCCAGTCCCACGAAACGGCCGCGCACGCGCAGGGCCCACCCTGCTGCTGGCCGGGGAGGGTCGCGCCCGGGTTGTGGAGGAGGAGGAGTTCCACCTGTATACTTCCACTTCTGTCTTATTTTAGGTACGCTTAATTCAGTTAGCCGTTTAAGGAATAGTAGCGTATCTTATTTTCTTATTAATGAATAAAATTTTGCTTTCTTTTGTTTTTTTGATTAGATCGTTGGTTTTCAAACTGGATCGGTCGTTACGGTTTATTTTTTTATATCTAAAATGTAGACGTACACACTTCATTGTAAACACGCGAAGCGAACGAAACAGCCCAGGAACCCCTGCAGTGAAGTGCGGCGGCCCCGCCCCCAGCGGCCTCCGCCCGGTGTCAGGGTCCGGCCCGGCTTCCTCCAGGTCCCTCCCGACCTTTGCTGTGGCCTCGCACGCGCAAGGGAGCACGCGCGCACACACACACACACACACACACGCTGGTGTGTGTTCTGCTTTCTTGTAAATGGGATTAGACTATTCACTTTTCCCCCCTAAAAAGTACAGAGAAAAGTTAGTGTGTCTCAGAACAAAAGCAGTGGATTGATGACGGTACCAACACTGCCTGTCACTGCTCTCTGCTCTCTGCCACGACCCACAGGGTCTCTCACTCCCACGGGCCGGCAGAGACGCTGCGGCCGTCAGCAGGTCTGCGCAGGGCGTCAGTGCTTTCCCGCGGCGGCCACTTCCCGGCTTGGCTCACTCGGCCCCTTGGTGCCGCTGCGCTGTCCCGCTGTGCTTGTGGGACTCCGTGGAAGTTCCGTCTGGCAGGGTTTAAGAGTCTGTCTTAAAGCCGAGAATTGGTGTAGGACACGCACTAGCAGTTCCTCTCCCTTTTCAAAAGTCAGGTGCTTGAAGGTAAGGCTGGGCGTTCCCGACAGTGGGCTGTCTCTGTGCGCGCGGGTCCTGACAGTTCTCTGTCTGTCCTCACTGTCACTAGGGAGTGACCCAGCCACGCTGCGTGCTTCCAGCCACGTCCCAGCCCTGGCTGCGGGCGGAGGCAGGGTCGAGTCTGACGGTCAGGAGCACGGGGAGCGGGGCAGAGGAAGGCGGGCACACCTCAGCCAGGGGTTCAGGCCGCCGGGAGCTGGTCCTGGCCACTCGCAGGCACAGACTCAGACAGGTGCATGGGACTTGGTGTTCAGCTGTAAGAAACAGTACGTCTTTAAGTTCTGCTTGAGCTGTTCAAAATTAACGTCAGCAGCAGGCTTCCTCCCTCGAGGCGGCGGTTTACACAGAGCAGCACACTTCTGAGTGGCGGTAGGCCCTGAGTTGCTCCGGTAGGGACAGTGTCGGAGCACTGGGCCCGGCAGTTGAACTTGCGACTGTGCAGTCAGGGTGAAGGAGCGCTGGGGGAGGCAGGCTCTTCTTCAAGGCCTTTCTGTTTGAGAACCGAGAAATCTAACCCTTCAGATGGACAGGGGTCTTCCAGTCTGCAAGTAAGCAGCCCAGGTTCTCCCAGCGGCAGACAGGCGCACCGCGCAGCCTGCCCCCGTTACACCCCGAGCACCCCACCCGTTCCCCTGTGGCTCCCAGACGCCGGCCCACACCCACCTCGGGGCCTTTGCCCGTGCTGTTCCCGCGGCCTGCACTCCTGTCCCTGAGTCGCCTGCAGGACCGACTGCTCACCGAGCTCCTCGGGCGAGGCCGCCCTGTCCTGAGCACCCTGCACAGTGGCCATGCCCCTCCCTAGCCTCCCTTCCTGTCCTGGCGTCTGTCTCCTGTCTTTCTGCCTGTTTGTGTCGTGTATTGGTGCCCCCCCCCCCCCACTGTTGTCTTCCCCTTCCCCGGGGCCCCCTGCTTACCTGGACTTCCTGTCCTGTCCGTGTCCTGTCGCGTCCCTGTGTGACCACACAGTGCTGTTCCAGACTTTCGGGTCTGGAGTTGATGGGCAGTTCCTCTTCCGTACCTTACTGTCAAGGTCAGGTCCGGGGTCAGAAAAGTGATTTCGGTGTTGGGCGGGGCCTCATGGGGCTGCTCTGCCAGAACACGGGCTTCGAGTATTTCTCGTCGTTTCCTTTTGTCTCACTGGCTCGTTGGTCGTGCAGGAGGATCAAGGGTTCCTAGATGTGCGCTTCACTGAGCACTGCCTCTGGGGGTGTTGGGTTTACACGCTGGTGTCACGTGGCCTCCTCTCCCAGAATGCTGTTCCCTAGACTCAAAGCATTTTCATTTTGGACCCAAACCTCTGTCAGCAAGAAGCACTTTTGGTCTTGAATTTTGATTCCCTAGGGCAGAACGAGGAGGTGAGAAGTAATGGATGAGCCTGTACAGACCATCTAAGAGATGGGGTGGGGCAGGGAGGGGCACACTTGGAAGAGGGAGCTTTGAATACACTGTATGTGGTCGTGTGTGACTCGACCACATACACATAATGTGCGATACACATAATGTGCTCCTGTGTGACTGTGCACCCATGTTTTTGGCCCAAACTTGGGGGAAAATCTTTTGTTTTAATTTTTTAGTTCAATTATTTATTTATATTTAGAAAACCGATGATCCTATTCCAGGGTATTTTGCATGTGGATATCATTATTGCTTTCTAGAGTTACACTTTTAATGCATAAGAATAAATAAAAAGAATTAAAAACATTTATATAGAAACAGAATTAGTGCTACACATGTATAATGCACATCCTTGTTTTTCTCTCAAAAATGTGGGCAAAAATATGCACGTTATACTCGGCAAAATACGGTAAACCGGGGGCTTTGTGCCTCCCCGGGGGGCTGTGCATCAAGTGAGGGTTCCCAAAGGCAGTGTCAGGCATCAGGTGCAGCACAGGTGCCTGGTGGGGGCAGGTGCTTAAGTAAGTCACCTCACGCGGGCGGCTGGGGTGTCACCACAAGGCTCTGGTCTCGCAGCAGAGGCCAGGGTGGGGGTGCTGGGGGAGCAGAAACAGAGGGTGGTTCCCAGCACGAGAGAGACAGAGTGGTGGCCGGCGTCGCAGGCCAGTGGCCATGTCCGGAGGCTGAAGGGGGAGGCCTGGGCCTCCTTGTGAACTGGCCTTGCGTGCATGTGAGGGTGTCGTCCTGCAGGCCTGGAGGTTGGCACTGTGCTGGCACTCTGGCGGCGGCCTGGGGCTGGAGGCCAGCTGGAAGGTTTTGCAAAGGATACGCTAGGCGGGAAAGCCCCAGGCCCTCGGTCAAGCGGGGGACTGGCCTGGGAGGAACCACTCCGGGAAAAATTTGAGAAGACAAAATGCTGACCAGCTGAGGTGCCAAGACCGTGACAGTGCCTGGCCCCCGTAGGACAGCTGCGTTAGGGCGAGATGCGGGTTTCGGTGTAGTTGGTGGGTTTCCTGTGCTTATGTGTAACGGGCTTAGAAACTCGTGATGTAGCTCTCAGCAAAAAAGAAAAGTGACTAGGATACAACTAAGTTATTTCTCCTTTCTAATCTGAAATTTATCTCCAATCTCGGAGTAAAATGTGCATATAAACTCAGAAACAGAACTTTTCATTCCCCCCCCATTCTCTCTCTGTGGGAAAGCCCACTTCAGTGCCTTAAAGCAGGCTTTGGGCAGGCAGGACGGCGTTTGCAAGTCAACAACAGAGGTCTCTGTCCGGAACCCGCTGCCCCTGGCGGGGGCGGGGGCAGAGGTGGAAGGCAGTATCTTTGTAATAAATGGTTTCTGTTTCGTTGAGACAAGCAGGTGATAATCTATACAATACATTTTCCTAAAAGGATGTCTTTTAAGTACAGAATCTTCCGTGAGAATTTCTGGTGTAAATAGTGTTGATTAAAATAACCAAGCAGTTCTGTGCTCAGTTTCATGAGGCACGCGCAGTGCTTTTGAGTCCCCGTGGATAGCTGTTATCCTCCAGTTGCCCACAAAAGACCCTCCCGAGTGAGAGACCCCTGTCCTTGCCTCCAGATCACCACAGGGTACAACCTGGAGGACGACCGCTGCGAGTGCGTGGCTCTGCAGGACTTCCGGGCGGGAGAGCAGGTAGGCCGGGGGTCCTGGTGGAGGGGGCGGGGCCGGCGGAGGGGCGGGGCCGGCGGAGGGGGCGGGCCCTGGGCCTGGGGTCCTGCGGTGTTGGTAATTGCAAAAGGTATTGAACGTGGGCAGAAAAACTGGGGACTTCCATTTAGGGTTGCTTGGGGAACGAGTCTGGAGACGGAAAGCCGTTGTGAACACATTGTGCTCTAAGTCCACAAAGAAAAAACGACTTAAATGCAGTTATTTGCACAGCTGACCAAATATTAGTAAAGTTGTCAGCTGAAAATAAACTGTTATGAAAGTGAGACAAATTTTTCAATTTTATAAACTGCATTTTTTTTCTTGTTGAGTAGACCCTTTGAAAGGAGGCTGTTTAAGTGGCAAAAACACAAAGGAATCAGGAAGTACAGCTCTGCCTTCTTGTACTTAGACTTTAATCTGTGAGGGTTATATATCCAATTATTGTATGTAAGTATGTGGGCAGGGGCAGGATTAAGCCTTCCAGTGCGTGTGAAAATATGCCCCTCTGCACACCTGCATTCTGCCTGTCGGTCTTAGGACCAAGCAGGTAATACAAAAAACCAGAACTGATGGGAATCATTGATGCTGCGATTGAGACAAAAATGAAATCTGTTAGTCTAACAGAAGTACTGGCCCGCAGTCGGCAGAAAGCTCAGAATCCCCACAGATCTGGAAATGAACTTCTGGCAGGCAGCCCCCCAAACTCTTGGCCCAGAGGAGAGCCTCTTGCGTGGGGCGCGGAGGAACGCGGCGCACTGCGGAACCAGCGCAGTGGTCGTCTTACGTGCGCGCCCCCGTACCGCCAGGGGCAGGACTCGTGGGAAGGCCTGGCCCCTTCCTGTGCACTGGGGCCCCGGGTGAGGGGGTGCGGCTCCTCCCCGTCCCTGGCAGTTTGGGAAGGTGGGGAAGTTGTGCGCCCGCGGAACCGCTGCCTTAGTTAGTGTAAAGCCGCGTCGCGACTGTGAGAACTGACCCTTTGCCCTGCTCTGTGCTGAGAATGGATGTTAAGTCTCTCTTATGTCCCTTTATTTTTTCTTTACTGCATCTCAGATTTACATTTTTTATGGCACTCGGTCAAATGCAGAGTTTGTGATCCACAGTGGTTTTTTCTTTGACAATAATTCACACGACAGAGTGAAAATAAAGCTTGGAGTGAGTAAAAGCGACAGGCTCTACGCGATGAAGGCCGAGGTCTTGGCTCGCGCTGGCATCCCCACGTACGTAGAAACCCGCGGCCGGCTCTGGCCTGTGCTGCTCGAACTATTTCCAGTTGCATGGTGTTGAGTCGGTGTGGTAATAGACCTTCCCGGCAGTAGTGTGTCTTGACCCCTGTACCCCGGTGGCGCGCACAGCCGCACCACGGCGACGGCACCGCGTCTTCGGACCCACACGCTTGTGTCGCGGGACTGTTCGCAGTCAGCTCCGGGGCTGTGGCCTGAGCTCCTCACGACGCGAACTAAGTGCTTTGCCGTCATTAACGTCTTTCCCCTCGAAAAGGTTAATGACCTGGATCAATTTGTTTCATTTAATTTTTTGCCACCATTAGTTTCTGTAATGAAGTTGTGATCCTCAGTCACTTCAAAAAATTCTGGTTAAATTCTTTAGGATTTTAGTGCATTTGAGGTGCAAAATGATAAAGAAGGCAAGAATTATGATTTATTAGTTCTCCAGGGAACAGAGGAACTATTCTTAATGAAAATGGATTACCCGGCCCTTTTTTTATTGAACTTGTCAATATTTGATTAATGATTAAAACGTGAACTCAACATAAATTATTGTTAACGTATTTTTAAGAACCACAGTGTGCTCAGTTCTCTTAGTGTGTTGCACGCGAGCGGAGGCTGTGGCTGTCGGACTGTGAGAGTCGCTGGTGGGGTGGTCGCTGCTGTCCTCATCAGTCAGCTGGCCGTGCGCCGGCCGGGGCGGGGCGGCGCTGCTCTCGCAGTTCAGGGGAGGACGGCCGCTCAGCCAGCCGCACGGACTGCAGTGTAGGGGGTTTCACCGGGAGCGGGCGGGTCGCTGCAGGGGCGGTGACCGGTCTCCTCCCTGTCCCCGCAGTTCCAGCGTGTTCGCCCTGCACTTCACGGAGCCGCCCGTCTCTGCGCAGCTGCTGGCTTTCCTCCGCGTGTTCTGCATGACCGAAGGTAAAGCACTCCGGGGAGAAATGGTCCCTCTTTTCAGCTCATGGGCATATAAAGCACTGGGTTTCAGATTAAAGATAAAATTGCTGAAAACTGAAGTACCTTTTAGCAGGAGTTAAGTTAGCAGTACTGGAGAAAGAAGTTGTTCTTTTTTACCTTGAAAATGTTTTCTGTCGTCCTCAATGTGCTATCGGCATTCATTTGTCATAAACAATTCTCTGCTGCCTTGGGAGGAAACCGAGCACACCCGGGGTTGTCCAGCCGTGGAAATCTCACCTCCGGAGGTGGGAGGTTTTGACGCGCTCCTCCCCACTTCGCTGGCAGTGGCGGAGTTGGCAGTGACGTCACGTGCTCCGGCGAAGGCCCCGCCCCTCCGGGGGAGGGGTTGGGGGGGCGGGCGACCGGGCTTCGTTAGCTGCCCGGGCCGGTGTCCTGAGTCTGAAATGGCTAGAAGGCCTTTGAATGCCGGGCGTCCTGCTGGAGTCAGCAGCGCTGCCAGCAGAGTCTGCCCAAGTCACGGAGTGGACTTGTCTCCAGCCTCTCTCCAGGCACACACAGAGCTGAAAACATGCGTTGAGCATCTATGTCGTGTTTGCCTAAGACAAGTCGTGGGGGTTTCTCACTGAGACCCCACCTGTCGTGGTGGTGGTTTTCCCTTCTCACCTGACACTGGGCTTCACACGGCCTGGCGCGGAGGCCTTGCGTCAACCGTGCGTGTGTTTGCTGGTGGCGTGGGCTGGCTCGCGTCCTGTGCGGGGCAGGTCGGGTAGGAGGGGCAAGTGGCTGCCTAGTGGAAGGGACACGTGCGTGTTGTCCCAGAGACAGCTGCCTGGGCGCTGGGGAAGGGCGCCTGGGCCGTGGCTCTGAGCCGTGGCCCGTGGAGGGGACTCTGCTGGGCTCCGCTGTCCCCAGCTCCCCGAGTCCATGCCCAGACCCAGGAAAAGTGGCCTCGTTAGCAGGGAGGTAGAGGACACTCAGTCCCAAAGCGAGGGGCCAGAAATGCCGAGGCACCAGGTGGCACCTGTCCCTCTTGCGCAGCCACACCGCAGCAGCCTCACCGTCGTTGAGGTGAGGGCTTTTGGTGACCTGGTGCTTCAGCAGGGGCTCACCAGCTCCTTTAATGGGCACGAGTTACGGGTTGACCGTGGTTGCTCTTGTGTGTAGTGCAGGGGTACACATCGGATGTTGTCACAGCTCACAGGCCGAGGGTCTGTATGAAGCAGCAGTGGCGAGGGCAGCCCTGTGATCATGAGCACCCCCGTGTGCCGAGTGCAGTGCCGAGTGCCATGCAGGCCGGGTGGCGTTTCGTCAGCCTGGCGAGCGACAGGGTCCCGCGTGCCCAGCGTCGGGACGGCAGTTCACAGAGGGTGAGGAACTGGGCCGCCATGCCGGCAGGCGGTGGCCCTGTCTGGCTCCAGAGCCCGTGCCCCGGGCATCCCACGTGGCTGCTGCTGGTTGGCAGTGACACAAGCCACAGCAGAAACCCTGGTGCCCCGGGGTCTGGAGGACCCGGGCTGGGGAGAAGGGTGCCTGCTGCGCGCCGTGACCAGAGCTCACTCCTACGGTGGCCGGGGAGGCCGAGGGTTGTTCCGTGAGGACAGGGCGGGTTCCAGGCGCAGGGCGTCTGTCCAGGGCCGGTCAGCAGAGGGAGGCGGCCCACCGCAGGGGCCCTGGGTTCACCTGCGGGGGGTGGTGACCTTGCCGCCCCCGCCACCTGTGGGTTTGCGGTCGGAGGGGGCAAGGGGAGCAGGCCATGGGTGCCGCGGCGCTGACCCGGCCGGCCCGGAGGTTGGGGTGGGCAGGCCGAGGAAGGAAACGAAATCGGAAACCTCAGTTTGGGGGGCTTCTGAAAACAAATTTCCACCACTCGGGGTATTCTTAAACTTTTAATGACTTTATACAAAGAATACAAACTGAAGGATCAAACCTCTAAAAACCCTGAATTACCACCGTCTTTCCCTGACAAAGGCAACTTAATGAATTTCTCTTTTGAACATTAGATTAACTTCTGTTTTGTTTGAAATTTAGAAAAAGACGAAGTCCTTGAATCATCTTAGATCTGCTGTTGATTTTTTCTGTTTCTCTTTAGCCATAGAGAGTTTGTCTCGTCAATTGTCTTGACGTGTCCTTCGAATCACTCTAAACTGATAAAAGTTTGGTTTGCTGGCAACAGAAGTCCTCGCATTTGCATTGTAAAGAGTGACAGCTGCGGGGCATTTTGCTCTGAAAAAGACACTGTCTCCTAATTACATAAGAAGCGGGTGGATGTCTTGAGCATGAATAGAACCAGCATGTTTTGGTCTTTTGAAGAGAACGTGCCAGGAGATAAACCGCTCAGAGCAGTTGCTGAATTCTTTCCTCTTAAATGTAGTTGAAGGTAATTGAGATGTTCGCTTGCGTTTATTTGCAATTGCTATTTAAATTCCTGACAAGTGAGGGGCATCCACACGTTTTTCATTAACTGCGGTTTTGGTTTTCCTAGTCCGTTTTCTTGTTTCTCTGGTCGTGGCTCTGCTGCACGCTGGGTCAGTGGCTGGGCGGGGCCCCTGTGTGAATAGGCCGTCGGGCCTAGATCAGAGGGCGCGCTGCAGTGCTCTGCTGCTGGCGGTCGGGTCTGCTCGCTGCGTTGTGCGCGTCCGAGTGTGCTGTGCGTCCGAGTGTCGTTCCCACGGGGCTGGTGTGACAGCGCCCGTGGCTCGGAGGACGAGTGCTGTCAGAACGCCGCCACCGGAGATTGTCTTTCAGAAGGTAGCTGGTGAGTCGGCCTGGAGGCTCGTGGGGCCCCCACGGAAACCGTGAGGACAGGGGCTTCGACTGGCGCCAGCTCTGCAAGCTCTCGCCTCGTTTCCCTGCCCGAAGCTTAGCTCTGGCTCCCCTGCAGAGCCGGGGAGCGGCCTGCCTGGTGGCCGGGCCAGGGCCAGGGCAAGCGGCGCTGTCAGAGGGGCCGTGGCGTGAGGTGGGTTGCTTGTGAAGATGAGAGGGAGTGCCGGTCCCCTGACAGCTGGCTGTTTGTGCTTCCTGTAGACGAACTGAAGGAGCACTTGCTGGGAGACAGCGCCATCGACAGGGTCTTCACCCTGGGCAACGCCGCGTACCCCGTGAGCTGGGACAACGAGGTCCGGCTGTGGGCGTTTCTGGAGGATCGCGCCTCGCTGCTTCTGAAGACGTACAAGACGACTAGCGAGGTAACGCGGCTGCACGAGGGGTCGAGCTCTGTCCTGCTTTAGGGGTGCTTAGTGAGAGATCCCTTCCTACACGTAAACTACTGTGATTCTTTTTTTTTACTTAACACCTTTACGCTCAACAAGAAATCCTGTTGAGGCATTGTTGATTAGAAGGTCAATTCTTTACATTATTCCATATGTGTCTGTGATTTCTAACCCACGATACAACAGACAGAAGCTTTCATTTGTGCTTTCAAAGTTCACCATCGGGTCACTCACTTGAAGAACTTCTCATTCATTCATTCATTCATCATTCATTCATTCAGCCAAGGGCTGGGCCCTGGGACCCCGTTAGCTCCCAGGACGAGACAGAACCAGTTCAGACACGGGGGAGGTTCTCTGGCAGAGGTGGGAACGCACCTTGGATGTAGGCTCCCTCTGTTGTGTCCTGACCGCTTCACTGAGGCGCAGTTCACGCACAGTAGAATCTCGGTGTTGAAGTGCACGTTCTGATGTACGAGTGTGCTCATGCAGCCACCTCCACAGTCAAGTTCTAGAGCCTTGTGTCACACCCCAAATGTCTCATGCCCCACCCCCAACAACCGCTGACCTGCCTTCTGTCTCTGTAGTTTTGCTGATTTAAACTTCTTATGATTAATTTTGCTCGTTTTTATTTTCTAGGAAGACAGGTCCATCTTGAAAAACCAGGACCTTTCTGTTCGTGCAAGAATGGCCATCAAGTTGCGCTTGGGTGAAAAAGAGATTTTGGAAAAAGCGGTGGAGAGTGCGGCCGCGAACCGGGAGTACTACCGCAAGCAAATGGAGGCGCGGGCTCCACTGCCCAAGTACGAGGAGAGTAGCCCGGGGCTGCTGGAGGGCGACGGGGCGGACTCGAGGCTGCCCCTGGTCCTGCGGAGCCTGGGGGAGGGGGCCGGCGGGCAGGGGGCCCTCCCCCTCTCGGAGGCCGGCGGCTGCGCAAAGGCTGCAGAGAACGGGCTAGTCAATGGCCAGAACTCGATCCCCAATGGGACCAGGTTAGAAGAGGAAAGTGTAGATGAAGAGGAAAGGAAAAGAGCAACTGAAGATGCCAAAGAACCTCCCTCGGAGAGCGCGGGGGCGGCCCCGGCGCGGCTCTGAGGGGGCCGGCGGCCGCGGGCCCAGGCAGCACGCCCGCGAGAGCGTCCCCTTCCGTCGCTGTGGTTCCTTATTTCACGTTCGGGGTTTTTTTTTTTCTGCAGAGAGGAAAGTGTTTTTGCTGCTTTATATAAAAATAATTTTTTAAGTTATTTAAAAATTCTAGCTTCCCTTTTTTGATTAAGATTGCCATCTTGCTTTGAGGCAAAGCGAGCACGTCATCGAACCGTGACAGCAGAAGCGGGGAGAGGTGCCTCGGAAGGCTTTGCAGCCCCGCTGTGGGCAGAGCGCTTTCTTCCCGGGGAAGAGTGGGGCTCCTCTCCCAGCTGTGCTTTTGTGGGCCTGTCACTGTGACAGCCCGAGCGGACGCCCCTCCGCCTCCTGCCCGCGGGGGGCGGGGCGCAGTCCCACCGTCGAGAGCGAGCAGGGGGTGTGGGAGCTTGTCTGGGCAGGATCTTTTTCCCCCCCCTAAAAAATAGAGCCCAAATAAAAGGTAAGGTGGCAACCTTATTTTTAATAGTTTTAAATGTTGATGATAATCCTAATGATATAAATACACACACACCCCTAGTGACTTCTGAAGACTTGTTTACTTTTTGTGTTGTTTTACTGTATTAAGAACTGGTCTCTTCTCCTTGAATCAAAGTAGGACAGGCATCATCTTTCTAGGGTCCAGAGTCGGCTCTGACTTTAAAGTGGCGCGCGTGGTCTCCACGCGGGTGGCGGAGAGCGTGCGGACTCGGCGGCCGCTGCTCTCCGCCGCTGGGCTCGGAGCGGGGGCTCCCGGGCCCTTCCGGTTTTCTCAAGCTAGAGATTTTCAAAGCTACACTTTTGAGAAAAAGCCTTATTAAAAGGAAACCATGATTAATATATTGGTCTCTTCCTTTTATTTGGAGTGGGACAGACCCTTTGATTCGAGCTTTTATGCAGACCACCCTCCTCGCCCACCGGGCAGGGCCCGAACCCGAGCGCTGCCCTCACTCTGCCGGCCCTGGGGGTTCAGAGGTGAGGGGAGGCTGGCGCAGCCCTCACCAGCCGCTAGGGGGCGCGCTGGCAGCCGGCCCACAGAAAGAAGAGCGCTTGAGTTCCAGGGGAAACAAAAACTTGGGACGGTGTCCTGGTGCAGGAGGGGTGAGGGCGCCTCCGTCCCCAGGAAAACCACCGCTGTTCAGACTGTGGACTGCCGGTCCTCACGGCACGTTTCCACGTCGGCTCTGATGTCCTGGTCAGCCCGCCGTCACCGGCTCTGAAAACAGTGTCATTGTTTGCACGGCCATTGGTTGGACATCACTGCTCACAGGTCGTCTCGGTGACCTCCTTGGAGAGGACACCCCCTGCAGACACGTCGTTTCCTGCTCACTGAGGCTGCCACCGCACTGAAGCCAGTGTCAGGCTTCGTCCTTGGGTGAGGTCGGCAACTCCGTCCGTGGGGTGCCTGTGACGCGTGCACGTTGTTGGCACGTGCGTGGTCCAGGCTTCCTCGTGAGGAGCCACCTGTGACTGCCCGCCCTCCCTCAGCCTCGTCCCTGAGGTCCTTTGCCAAGGAGGAGGAGGAGGAGCCGGTCTCACGTACGAACTTCCCGAAGGCCGGGGCGCTGCGGTCCCCAGGGAGTCTCCCGCCCTGGGGGAGGAGCCCCAGGGGCCAGAGCGGTCGTGACTGCCTTGGCTGTAGGTACGGAGGTCACCGGGGTGAAAGTTTCCAGTCTAATGTAACTGTGTCCTTTGAAAAGACAGCCACAGTTCAGACATAAAGTGGCACCTCAAGAAGGGAGAGCTGTGAAGAGATTCCCTGGAAAAGATGCGCCTTGGGGCGGGGCTGGAAGAGCCCCGGGCGGGCCGGGGTGCAGCTCAGGTCCTCGCAGCTCCGCCATCGCCCCGCGTCTCCCCCCGGGCGGGCCCCATCGCTGCGTGCCCTGGCCAGGTAGAGGACTACACCGCGTTATCGGAGGTCCTGCTTGAGAACGTGGAGACTGTGCTGCCCACGGACTCCCCGCCCACGGTGGGACCTGCTTACGCAGGCGGCTGGACCGACGGGCGGTGGTGTGTCCGGCCCCCGTCGAGGACAGTCTGTGTGTGTGTGTGTGTGTGTGTGTGTGTGTGTGTGTGTGTGTGTGACGTAAGAACGGCGCCTGTGAGGACGGGACATAGGACGTTGTCGTGTGGGAAGACCGAGGACTGTTGAGTGGCAGTGCTTCCTGAGCTGGGGAGGGCGGCCCTCGAACCGCGGCCTAGGACCGTGAGCGCAGCCCCCGGTAGTCGCCCTTGGTTGGCCCTGCACGGCTCGGCCGGGGCGAGGCTGGCGCCCAGCCGCGTGGCGCCCCCGCCGAGCGTTTGGAAACGGAGGAGAAGGGGTGACGTGGGCCCCGGGAGCCCTCACTGCCGTCTGTCACGGAAGCGGACCTTCCTCCCCAGTCATCTCAGAGTTCACTTTCTCTTCCTAACGCTGTCGGACGCGGGGCTGTTCGGACCGGCCGCCGGGAAGACGCCAGCTTCTGCTCCGGTTCCGTGAGCTCCGCGCGCCGTTTGTGTGAACAGCCAGCAGCGAGGTGCCGCCGGCCCAGGAAAACACTCGGCGGTCCCTCGCAGACGGCGAGAACGGCGGGCGGGTTTCCCCAGTAGCTGTAGGACGAGCTCTCCAGGAGAGGCATTTAGTTGAGAGACGGGGGGGAGACGTTAAAAATGCGCTCAGGTTCCCAGTACCCGCGGTCACGCGGAATGAAACCCGCACTCACAAACGGGCAAGGTGGGCCGGGCTGGGCGGCTCAGTCGCGTGGAGCGTCGTCCAGGGCCGCACAGGCTGCAGGCTGGACCCCCGGCTGGGGCAAGTGCCCTGTCTCTCTAAAATCAATCAATGCCTCCTCAGGCGAGGATTTAAAAAGGGAAGTGCGTTTCCTGTACACGATCACTGCATTTCCTGGTGGTCGATATGTGGGTGTGAGAGCAAAGGATGAACGCAAAAACGACACTCGGCAAGTCCTCGTGACCTGAGGCCAGGACTGGGGCAGCGCAGACCCAGGGAAGTGGGGGACCACGCGGGGGCTGGTTCAGGGGTGAGTGTCGGAGCGCCCAGCATCGGAGGTGCTGGCTGCAACCGTGGCTGCGGCGGGACGCTGCTCGCGTGACACGGCGTGCTCCGCTCGCACGGCCGTCGGTCTGCAGAGCGGGCGTGTTCCGTGCGGGGTAGCCGCCAGCCCGGCCCCAGGGTCGGGCGCGCTTGTGGGCACAGGCAACTTCGGGTGGGCAGAGAGTGGGTCCGATGGCCTCATTCCGGGTGGCCCTGCTGCCTCTGTCAGCAGCGCCTCCTGTAACGCATTTCTCTCTCTCGCCCTCCCTTCCCTCTCTAAAAATAAATAAAATATTAAAAAAAAAAAAGAAGGAAACGAGAGGGCCCAGGCTCCGTGCCGCCGTGTCTGGCACGGAAGTATCTTCTGTCTGCACCTCATTCCCGTGGCGAGTTGTTGTTTCTGGCCCGAGTCGTCTCTGGCTGGAGCCGCCGGGATCTGTTGGTGGACGTCTCGGTGCCTGGAAATCCGAGGGCGCAAATGCACCTCCCGCAGGAGACACACAGCGTCCCCCAGAGGCAGCAGGTGCCCCTCCGGGCTCTCTAAGGAAGCCAGGATTTCCAGCGGCAATTAAACTGCGTGATTGGATACAGGGAAGATTTTATAATTGCTCCCAGGTAGCAATTTATTAGGACGGATGTTCCTGATGACATGTGTCAAAAAGGTCAAAGTTTATGCTGCCTCGAACATTAACCTAATCTTCGAAAACTCTGAAAGTTACACTTTTTGGTCATTAATTTTTTTTTCACATGCAGAGATTTTGACAATTAACCCAGTTAATAAAGGTCAAGTTTCAATTTTTTTCCAATTTCTGGAAATTGGAGCACTTAACTTCCTCCTTTGTGAAAGTTGGGAGATAGAGGGAGATACATAGTTATTAGGCGGATGCGGGAGGCAGGTCCGCCGTCAGGGCGGTGATTGGAACCGGCGACCCCGAAGAACAGCATCGCTGTGTGCCTGGAGGGGAGGGGAGGGGCGCGGATGACGAGCTGAGGAAACGGGAAAACTAAGCCCGAGCAAGGCGCGTGGCTAGCAGCAATGTAGGAGCATACACGCTTGGTAAAAGTCGTCTCAGGAGTCTTCGTCCAGTGACAGCAGACTTCGGGCTGCCACTGTGGGATCTGAATATCTCTAAAGAGGTCATTTCTGCAAACTCGCGAGGAAGCACAACGTGAGTGAAGAACCAAGTGTACCCCGCCGCCAGGCCGCCTCCCTGACATGACGTCATGCAGAGACCCGCAGACAGGGCAACCGAGTCTCTGGGACCCCCGGACCAATCTCCATGGGGGAGGGGGCGCACACCACCCCGGGACAGCCCCCCCCCCCACCCGCCCCCGGCTGGACCAGGGCAGGTGTGGGTGAGGAGGGGTTTCCCTCTGCTCAGGGCCCGGGAACCGGCGGTGAAACTCCCCAGAGCCCTCCGCTGCGCAAACAGGCCGGCCGGACCTCTGACTCCGCCCCCACCCCAACCAAACCCGCGAGCCCCGGCTTCCAGCCCGAGTCCCGACTCCCCAGCAGCCTTCGTGGGATCCTCAGCGCCCGCCTCCGCTTGCGCCCCCTGGTGGCAGTGCGGGCTGGGACGCTGCCCCGGGAAGCTGAGCAGAGGAGCTCTTGCACCCACTCGCCCTGAGAGCAGGTACCCTTCCAGACCCAGCCGCGAACCTGGTGCGAGAGGGGGGTGTTTGTTGGCACGTTTGCGGGTTGTGGCTGCCCCCGCTCAGTTGTGTAAACACAGGCCTCTGGGTGCCTGCCCATGCGCTCAGTGTTGGTTGAGAGGGCTGGGTAACCAGGCGGGGCCTTGGGGCTGGGGTGGTCTGAGCCCCGGAACTGCGAGGTGAGGGTGCAGGAGGGGGCGCTGGGTGGTCAGACAGGGCCAGGCCGGAGCTGCTGGTCGGAGGGTGACAAAAGTCAGGGGTGGCCTAGGCGTGGGCCTGAGAGGAGGTGGACGGCGAAACCACAGGAAGTGAGGAGGTCACGGCAATGGAAAGCTGAGGGTGAGAACTGGGCCCGGAGGTGGCTGCAGGGGCCACTGGGGGTAGAGAGCTGCATTCAAGCCGAGCTGACTCTGCTCAGCAGGGACACCCTCGGTGGCCTGGCCTGCTGAAGTCGATGGCCACCACCGAGCGAGCAGGCAACCCCTGCTTTGTTGCAGACGCTCAGAAGTCTCTGGTAATGACCGCCCAGAACCGTAGAGCAGCTCCCCTGAAAGGTCACTCTCCCGAGAGAGGAGGAAGATTCCTCTTCCTGGGGGCTGTCATCTTTTGCTTTAATTAACATCACCCGTGTACACACTTGGCAGCGGCTTCAGGTGTTCGAGGGGACTTCCTGTGACATTTTTAATAAAAAAAATGTGAATCCTCGCGGGCTAACAGAGGTGTCGGTCCGCGCCTTGTCGGCTGCATGGCGCCTCCGGGGCAGACAGATGCCGGCCCTGCCCTCGGCCCAGCGCAGACGGCCTCACCTGGAGGACAGGGCCGGGCGTGCTGGCTCGTGCATCCGCTCGCTGGGAAGGCGACGTGGGAGAACCCGGTGGCTTGCATTCGCATCCTAGCTGCCGGGGCCAGTGAGCTTGCCTCTCCCTGCCTCAACTGCTTCGTCTGTAAAATGGGCCCATCAGGGCCCAATTTCACAAGGTTGCTTTGTGGATTACATCAGTTTACACGGGCTGCTCTGAGACTCAGCCGGCTGCTGTTACAGTGACTCATCATCACTGACACCCATCCCCACTGTGTCCTATTGCTGACGTGTCTGCTGCCCCCGCCAGACCGAAGGTGGGACCATGTCTGGTGTAGCGGTGTGCACAGGCGC